CTTCTCAGCTATCCCCTTCTTACACTCCCTAAATCTCAGTGACCTCCTGAGAAAATGGAGATTACGGTAACTATTTTATATTTTTTAAGATTTTATTTATTTGACAGAGAGAGACACAGCGAGAGAGGGAACACAAGCAGGGGGGAGTGGGGGAGAGAGAGAAGCGGGCTTCCCACAGAGCAGGGAGCCCGATGTGGAACTCAATCCCAGGACCCTGGGACCATGACCTGAGCCAAAGGCAGAAGCTTAACAACTGAGCCACCCAGGCGCCCTACAGTAACTGTTTTAAAGGTTTGTGGTGAGAATTAAAAGAAATAATGTGCCTGCTGTTAAGTAGGCACTGAACAATTTGACTGATGTTGTTAGCACTATTGTTGTTTTAACCTCTCTGCACTTGCTTTCTTATCTGAAAAACTAGACGTAATAGTAATCACTTCTTAGGCTGGTCACAAGGATTATATGTGTGGAGATCACAAGGATTATACATGCAGAGATTACAAGGATTACACAGGTAATATAGATAAAGCACCTTGGCACAGTGCCTGATACCAGGGAGGCACTCAAGGTTACATTTCTTTCCCTTTCCTTCCCAGCCTTCCCCTACCCAATCCAGGAGAAGAGTGTTGCTGCTCCCTCATGGCCAAGCTGGCTCCAGTATTTAGCTGGAAGCCAGAGAATCCGTCCCTGAAGGTGGTCCTTGGAGCGCCTTACCTGTTGCGCGCTCAGCCTACATCCATAAAAGGAAAAACCGCCAGGTGCGAAGCCTTCCTGGAGCGCTGGGGGATGGCCAGGAGGAAAGGAGACGGCTGCAGGACACATTGCTGGGCACTAGGGGGAGCAATAAGCTCGGGAACACAGTGAGGGCCACGCCCCAAAATCTCTCCACGCCGTGTGTACCAGTCGCCCAGTCGGGCCGATCCAAGCAGGAAGAGAACGCTTAAGGATTACTCGGAAAGGCCTTTGTGGAGACAAATGATGGGAGAAAATGCAGGGATCCGTGGAGAGCGCACACCTTACCTCCTGCTTCAGCTTGGTATCGGCCTAGAGAGCTCTCCTGGGCTTCTAAACTTCCACCTCTGGGTCCCCTGGTGGAGGAGCTCCCTGGAGGTCGAGGAAAACCCGAGATAGGGAAGACTGGCCACTTTTCCCAGTCACTCCAACTTCTACGTCTAGCCCCCAAGCATCTCAGCAAGTCCCAGTCGCTCACAGCTAGAAGGAGTCTTATAGAGCCCCAGATGTTCAACCCCCAGACGTTAGCTGAAGGGCTGGAGCCCAGAGAGGAGAATGAGCTTGAGCAAGATCTCCCAGGCAGTTTATAATAATCCCTCAGAGAGTTTACCAAATACTTTCATGTCCATCATCTGTCTTGAATAGTCACAACGACCTGGTGTTGTGGGCAGGAACTATTACTCCATTTTACAAATGGGGAAACTGAGGTTCAGGTAAGTGCCCATAACTCTCCTCTTCCCTACTAAATTTCCATGGCCACCCACCACCCCCTCCTCTCTTGCTTTCCCTTGTTTTAAAATAGGTTCGAACTATACTCATAACCCCAGGAAGATTGCTACACAGCTCCAGGTATTCCATAAATCAAATTTTAAAATATTTGTGGCATTCCCCATATTCCTAACCCATCCAGCATGATGGAGAGATGATAGAGCATAGTAATTATGAATGTACACTTTGGGATCAGATCTGAGTAAATATTCACTATTCATCCCTTATGAATTCCATGACCATGAACTTCTCTGTGCCTCAGCTTCCCCATCTGTAAAATGGGGATATTCACACCTATCTCCTGGAATTCTTTTATAGGTTAAATAAGATGAACTGTAAGGCAATTTCACAGTGCCTGGCATGCAGTAAAGGCTTGAGAAATGTTTCTCGTATATACAATTTATCATATAGTCATAGAACTGAAATGATCTTTAAGAATCAGTTCCTTAGTTTCATGCTATTTACCAACGAACTTAAATGGAGTTAAGTGGGGAATGTTTGCATGCTGATTTGAATGGTTTTCCCTCCTTCCCAAAATTCATGTCCACCTGGAACCTCAGAATGTGAACTTGTTCGGAAATAAAGGCCTTTGCAGATGTAATGAGTTAAGACAAGGTCATACTAGACTAGGGTGAGCTCTAAATCCAGTATGACTGTTATCCTTATATATCCTTATAAGAAGAGAAGAGGATGTATGGAGACAAAAGACACCCAGGGAAGAAGGCCATGTGAACACAGGCAGAGGCTGGGATGATGCAGCTACCAGCCAAGGAAAGCCAAGGATGGTCCGAGCCACCAGAAGCTAGGAGACAAGCAAGGAATGGATCCTCCCTCAGAGCTCCCTCCCCCAAGGAACCAACCTGTCAACACCTGGATTTCAGACTTCTAGGATCCAGACTGAAAGAGAATAAATTTCTGTTGTTTTAAGCCATCCAGTTTGTGGTAATGTCCAGCAGCCCTGGGAAACTTATATGGTTTGTGAAGAGAGAGAACTCCAACAGAACTCTAATTTTTTTTTACTCCTAGTCTAGCCCTTCTAGTCTGCTCCATCATTATCTCCCCAAACCAGCAAATAAACATTTATGGAACACCTACCTAGGAAGTTTACCTATTTGGAGAAAAATTGACACGAGCTATAATCTTGACCACTTCTTATGAAGGTGTTGCCTGAAACACAGTAGGCATTTAATAAATATTTACTGGCAAGTTGATAAAGTAATAGATATACAAATGTTATACAAACTTAAGATATTATTATGAACCCACTCTCTACCTCTGCGTACACCTTTGTACTAGACTTTAAATTTATTTACACGCTTTATGTACCGAAGAATCACAAAACTTCAGACCTTTCCCACACTGTAGCCTAAAGGTCACCATTGGCTTTACAAACCCTGCCTGTTCACTGCCTTCAGAGGTGATGAATCAAAAGGAAAGCAATCTGAACACCCTTGGGACTCTGATTCCTACCAGGCAGGGATGATGTCATTCTTGCTAGGTCCTCCCACACTCACTCAGGAATGGGGAGAGGGAGCCAGGGAGTCAGAGGAGCTGCTGGTTGCCATAAAGGAAGTAAACCAGCCTGGGAGTAGAATGGGTGGTGGTGGGTTAACAGCTACAAAGGAAAGGAGGGGAGGGAGGGAGGAGCTGATTCACTAGGACAACTCTTAGGGTGACTCAGAAGCTAGCAGAAAATAGCCTGTTCTCCCACATCTGTCTCATTGTCGGGCAATGAGGCACTTCCTCATGGCAAATGCAGAGGCAGGGCGACAGGGAGGAGGAGGAAATGAGATTTTTCACATTTGTGGGCCTATTCCAGCACCTCCCACTCTGTGTTTTTAACCATTTCAGACATTTTGTTTCAAGTCAGGTCAGTGTTCACCAAGCACCTACTATGTGCCTGGCCTTCCTCCTGCCTTTCAGATTGTCTGGTCTCCTGAACACAGGGAACGATGTCTTTCAGTTCTGAATTTCCTGTGTCATTACTTCAAAAACCCTTGGGCTGCTGTTGAGCACCTCAGTACAGTCTTGCTGTCCTTAAATGGGGATGACTCTCTCGGGCCTACGATCAATAGCAGGCAGGCGTGGAGACTTTTTCCGGCCCTGATGCTGTTTTTGTACTCTTCCAGGTCCGTTCTGTGGACCAGTTCTCCTTGTGAGAGTCAATGTGCAGCGAGCAGAATATGGCACAGGTTTAGAGCCTTCCATCCTCATTGGAAGTTCTTTCTTTACCATTTACCAGCTCTGTGACCTTATTTGATTTCTTTTCATTGCTATCTTCTCATCTGTAAAATAGGCAGGATGATGTCTATCTTACAGGTTAGGATAGATTTATCATATAATAGCGCAGATTAAGTAAGATATCATATGAAAGTACCAGCCACTGTGATGACATGTCTTCCTAGATCAATACTATGCCCCTAATACTATCTTGCTTAATAATAATTGTTATGATTAGGCATAATGTATTCAAAGCAATACATTATTTACTCATTATAAATTTTTAACTGTATTATAAGTATTTATTATGTTGTATTTAAAATAATGTGGTTATTATTATCTTAACCAGCTAAATTGATCTGGTGAACTGGAGTGCAGTCTATGAAAAAGGAATCCAGAAAACTTAACCTCAGATAGGGACGCAACTAAGGATGCATCCTCTTTCTTCTCTGGGTTATTTGGTCCTGGGAGGGCTTGCTGCTAACAGCAAGATCTGCATTCCTGTGTTCACAAGAAGGGACAGACATTCCTTGCATCCTCTATACTGCCCTTTGTTCCAGCTTCACGGCAAACGCATTGCCCCACAATAAAATGGGGCCAAGGACACAAAAATATCCCCTCATCGGAGACGCATCGCGTGGAAAACCTCGACAGACTAATTTGCAATTACTCCACTTCTGCCTGGAAGGCAGGTCGGACCGGGTTTTGCTCTCCCTGGTGCTACCCGGTGTCCCCGCGCCGGGGACTCCAGTGCTAGTGTTTCTCTTCCACATGTCATGGGAAAAGAGAAGGGCGGGGCGGGGCGGGGGGTGTCTCCGGATTTATCATCTTTGCGCTCTTGCTTCTAGCACCACACCCACAAGCTGGTCCAAGAGAAAGAGACAGCAGGAAAGCCACGTTACCAGGTTTTCGACAACGAATTCTAAAGCAGACACCAAAGGGCATTTCATTTATTAACATTTTGGATAAAATGAAACGCTAATGTACCCAATCAGCCTGGGCACCCGAAGCCCGCCATTCCTAAGCTTCCCAGACCGGCAGGGTAAAGCACGAAACACTCGCCACCGTGCTGCCCCGAAGCCTCCCACAAGGTGGAAAGTTGCAGAAGCGGAGCCGGGAGGGGCGCGAGCCCACCCCGGAGCCCGGGCCGGAGGAGGGCGCTTCCTCCAGGAAGTGACGCGAGCTCAATCCCAGCCTGGCTCTCCCCAAACAAAAGGGATCCTGGGGCCCCGGGAGGAGCCTAAATGACATTGGAGAAGCCCCTCCTCCAGCCGGCGCGGACTGGTGCCGGGGCTGAGGAAGCGAGGTGGCGATTGGCCCTGGTGAATGCCATTGCGCCCGCCTGGCGGTTGAGGGGCGGGGCCTCGGGGGCTGTGGATGGAGCGGGCGGCGGAGGCGGCGGGGAGCGGAGCCCGGAGCGCCGGGAAAAGGTAGGAGCCGCCTGGGCTGGGGCTTGGCGGTGGCCGGGGGGCCGGGTTCTCGAGAGAAAAGCAAGGGTAGGACCACCGGTGTCCTCCCACCACCGTCCCAACTGCCGCTTGCGCCCATCCCCTGAGGGGGCGGGGCCGTCTCCTCCGCCTCAAGGTATTCCCCGAGGAGGCGGCTCCTCATCCTCCGAGGGTCCTCGCAACTACTTATTGTCCCCCGTCAATCCCAGCTCCGCAAAGGGGCTTCCCTCCTGACACCCCTCGTTCAAGGGCCCCGCTCGCCCAGCGCCGCAACCTTCGGGAGGGCGCACAGGTTCCCATTCTCTAGGCTGCCGCCCCCACCCCCATTTTGTACCCCCGGGAGGCCAGACCCCCCTCCCTACACTTGTCCCTGCTCTCTAGAGTGGGACCAGAGCTGGTTTCACCCGTAAGATAAAAATCAGTGTTTTCCAAAAAAGATGGGTGAAGCAGAAATCAAGACCCGACCTAGACAGCCTGCTCCACAGAAGAAGCGGCCTTCCCCGACTTCAGCTCTTCCCATCCCCCACTCTCTGATGCTCAGGCTTCCTCCAGAAGCCCCTCGGATCCTCTGTTCCCTTGGGCGGGGGAGGGTGATGCTCAGGCTTCCTCCAGAAGCCCCTCGGATCCTCTGTTCCCTTGGGCGGGGGAGGGTGATGCTCAGGCTTCCTCCAGAAGCCCCTCGGATCCTCTGTTCCCTTGGGCGGGGGAGGGTGATGCTCAGGCTTCCTCCAGAAGCCCCTCGGATCCTCTGTTCCCTTGGGCGGGGGAGGGGGGAGGTGGCGGGGGTCCAGAGCTCACCTGCTTCGGGACTGTTTCAGACTCTGCAGGAAGGAGAAATACAAACTCCCCACTCCCCCTTCACCCTTTGTACCTTCCCTCCAATCTCTGCTCCTTGTGGGAGAACCCAACTTCCAAGGGCTTTTTAGGTTTGAGTTGCGTTTCATTTTTGCTTTCTACCCTATTTCTGCCCTTGGGAACTTGATGAAAAAAACCCGTCCTTTTATGTTTCACAGATAGGTGGGTGTGTTGGTCATCTGCAGAGTTGGCCTTACGTGGGTAGAATGCAGTGTATATTGTTTGTCAGTGAATAATAGCATGTTTTCAAATAAAACAGTGTAGATAAGTATATAAAGAGCATTAGATTAGGAATGAGTATCTCCCAGTTTAGGGTGGGCTGGTCCGTTGCGCAGGGAGACTGCAGTTAACCTTGAAGGTGTAGTTCTGTTGAAACAAAAGGCAGGAAGTGTTTGAAGAAAATTCAGGTTCAGCCATCTAGGTTTATCATTAATCTCATCCTGTGGCCTTTGGTTACTCTGTAGCCCCTTTTTTATGGTGGGTTTTTCCTTCCAGGGGAAATTGAAACACACATGATGTTGTTGATTGGTTTTATAACACCGATATTAACTACCAAAATTTAGGGGATGAAAAGTAAGAGCGAGTTTTAAATCTCAGAGATAAGGATAAATAAAAGCAAGGTCAACTCCAGCTATTCACAGACCTGTAACCACCAAGAAGTGTCTCATAAAGGCTTTGTCAAGTTGACCTTCATTTCAGCAGGTGCAAAATACTGATGATTTTGGCCTAATGTTGATGACATTGAATCCCCAGTAATCATCTATTGGTAGCCCTTCCATGTATTAAAATTTGACATATTTTTTAACATCATTTCTTTTGCTTTCAGTCTGAAGTCCATCTTACTACTGTTATCTGTAGCCAAGCTAACAGCAATGAGATGCAAAGAGTTGAAATCATGGGGCGCCTGGGTGGCTCAGTCGTTAAGCGTCTGCCTTTGGCTCAGGTCATGATCCCAGGGTCCTGGGATGGAGCCCCGCATTGGGCTCTCTGCTCGGCAGGAAGCTTGCTTCTCCCTCTCCCACTCCCCCTGCTTGTGTTCCCTCTCTCTGTCAAATAAATAAATAAAATCTTAAAAAAAAAAAAAAAGAGTTGAAATCATGGTGGGCGGTTATAATGGCTTTTACCTTCCTGATTAGACTTTCTGAAGGTAGACTTCCAGAAGTTTATTATTTTTGAATAGTTAGCTTCGAAGTTTTCAGAGCCATTCTCAGTGCTCACAGATCTGTTCAGAGATTGTTTCCAGATCTCCAGTAAAAAAGCACAAAGAAAGAACCGTGTGGTAGGTCTCCCCAGCAAACACAAAACTTAACTGTGATAGGAGAGGGTAAGACGTGGGCCCCCGGCAATAGCAGCAGAAAAAAACTAAAAGCAGAACAGGAAATCCCAAAAAGATATATCTTATTACATGAGCAGAGAACAGAAAATAAACTGAGGTAAGAGACTAAGGAAACCAAAGCAGTGTTCATTGCCAGAGCCTTAATGAGCAGAGAGGAAAAAGCAAATCATGCTCTTTGATTATTTGGCACAATAAGCAAGACCTGTCTGATACACGTCTGGGTCTTGGAAATCTTTCCTCTGACCTCTGACTTTTTCGACAACTGTTTGGTCATATTAGATGAGGAAAAGCATTGTATGCAGAGGATTTTTATGTATATGTCTAATCTGTGTCACTCAATTATAAATTCACTGAGAGCAGGTAGTAGTAATTTTTTTTTAATCATTGTGCCTTTCCCAGTGCCTGGGACAAGGGTTTGTTAAACTCAGTTTGAAGCTGTTACCTTTCTAGCTGTAGACTAGAAAGATAAATTGTTGATAGGATATGGCACAACTTAATATAAACAGTCCATTTCTTTTTGCCTTGATTTAACTTTATTTTCCCTACCTGATGTCTTAGGAAACTCCCGTATCTTAAATGACTAAAATACTGAATTTCCTGTAAGAAAATAGCTGATGTTTATATATATATATATAATTTTGTAATGAAATTTGAAGCCGACTTATTAATGTAATCATTGCTAGTCTTTTTAGGATTTTATTTTTCTGAGAATCTGACCTGAGAGGAAGGAGGTGAATTTAGGAGTGCACACTAGGAACTGATTGCTTATTTTTCAGAATGGTTTCCAAGTGTTTGATTTTGACAAGTTCCTGATCTACTTTGGGATTTTTTTAAGTGGATTTTTAGTCGATTTTGTGCTTTTCTGAACTAGCACTAAATACATGAACAGGGACACAAATAGTATTGGGTCCCTGAATGGAATCAGGCGGACCGATTACGGTGGGCTCAGTGCACTCGGTCTATAATGGATTTGTGTCTTGGCAGAATCAGGTTTGCAATGCTACCAGTTAATTTGCAGAACAGGATTGGAATTCTTGGCTTTTCTGAGTGTAGGACAACCGTGTTTCGAGGGGTTGCCATTGAACTGGCATTTGGTGGCATGATATGAGAAGCAGAGATTTATTTCTAGAGGAAATCTGTCCCATCTGTGGTGGTTGACCCCAGGAATGGCTTGTCAGCCTGCTTCTGAAGGCCATTTTTTTATTTCCTGCATGTTTCTGCTAAGAACTAAAAATCACATCTTCGAAGTTTCAGTTCAAAGCATTTCAGTGAGAAAACAGCTTATTTATTGTGAGGCTATAGAGTGTGGGAATTGACAGCAGAGACTCTAAAGGCAAACCTGGGTTCAAATCCCAGCTCTGCTGCTCTTTTACTGTGTGACCCAGGCAAGAGCAGTTTTCTATCTCACCATATCCCATTTTCCTCAGCGGTGACATAGAAGTAATTCTGAGAGTGGTTTTTTTTTTAAGGTTTACATGAACTAATGTATACATAAATCACAGAGCAAGATCCCTGGCATGTAGGAAGCACACAATATTGGTAGGTATTATTGCCATCCTTATTAGCACTTTGCATGTGAGTTACAGAATTTAATATTAAATATTCTCTTACTCCTTTAGCATTTTAACAGAGGTGAAGAAACAGTGTATGATTTTTGTTATCATTTGATTGCTTTTAAATATTTCAATATATAGCTAAGATTCCTAAGTTGAGGAAACAAAGCTTATATCTGTCATGATCTCAGACATCTGATACAAGGATTTTTAGGAGAGTATGTGTGTCTGCCTCATAGAGTATGTGTTTTGTAATTTTGTCATGCAAATTATCTTTCTTGAATTTTTTGGCCCGAGAAAAAGAAAGGCAAGGGATTCAACCATCTGGTGTCTCCTCTGACTTGTCAGTTGCTACACTCCAAACTCTACCATCTTAAGTACCTCCATCCTCAGTGTCCTATAAATGGTTTTGTAGACACTGGGATGACAGTATAGGGTTGCACCTCAGCAGCCTAGATTTAAGGATTTTCAGTGGTAATTTTGATCAAAAGTGGTTTTTGCCTTTTGAAGACAACTCCCCCAACTGCCCCCAAAGTAAGGAGTGATGATGGGAACAGGTGAGAAGAAACAATAGACGGGAGTTAAGAGTGGAGGTGGGGGGCGTCAAGGACAGGGGTGTGTGTGTGTTGAGGAAAATAGGACTACAAGCAGGCATTGAAGTAAAGAATGCAGTAATATGGTTCTTCCCTGCCAAGTATTTCCAAATTCTGTATTTCAGGTCCAAAGCCAGAGTTTCTGATCTAAATGTATCCTCTGCTGCTAAATGAAGCCTTTCTGACTTGTGGAGCCACAAAGAACGTTATCCTTAATTGTTACTGAGTTCAGTAGAAACTAGAAAAGAAAATAGGAGAGCACAGGATGATGGGGTTTACAGACCAAAAAAACTTCTGACCTTGAGCCTTGAGAGCATCTGCTTGGGTCCTTTGTACACAGCTGCTAGGGAGGGTGAGGCTGAAGAGTGCTGTGGGTTTGCCATCCTAGACTGGGGAGAGCCGGGGAAGAAGTACAGCAGGGAGAGGCAAGCAGGGATGAATTATTTTAACAAGAGATAAGAACTGTAAGTTACAAAGGAGAAAAGAACAAAGGGTAAGTAACAAGTTACAGGAAAAAGAGAGAAGCACTAACTTTGCTTTGGGGAGGTGTGGGGGAAGGGGTGCCCCATCTCTCAGTTTCTGCTAACCAGTCCTTTCTGTTGCAGCAGGTGGTGTGGTACAGGAGTAAGGACAGAACCAATCTGATTCTTAAGTGATTTAATAGTGGAGGGTACAAAAATGATCAGGTCTAGTCCCATGTATCAGCTCCTTCCCATTGCCTCTTGTTCTTAAATTGGAGGCACAGAAGAAATTTTCTTAAGGGGCTCTACCCCTGAAGACTTCTCCACTTCTAAACCTGTAGCTTTCCCCACACTGACCGACTCTTAACACATTCGTTCCTCTTGGGAGTCTGATGACTTCTCATTCAGCATGTCTCATATGAGTGACCATTTTCCCCTTAAAACCAGTTCCTTTTCTAACATCCCTGTTTCTGTTAATGGCGTCATCATTCTAGTCAGTCAGTCTAAAAGTTCAGCCCATCTGGGACTATTTCCCCTCCTGCCTTGTGGAACAGAACCAGTACCAAGTTACTGTAACTTCTGCACGAAATATCCTGCATCCGTCATTTCTCTTCCATCCTGACTGCTGCCATCCTAGGTCACACATTTTCACCTCATGCCTACGCTGTTGAAGTTTTCTCCTAAGTACTTTTTCTGCTTCCAATTTCTCATCAGTCAAAGCAGCTCTTTCCTTTCCTAAAACTATGCTTTTGTTCTGAAATTCACCTGGTTAAAAATGTTTAGTGGCTTCTCATTTCCTAAAGGATAAAGCCCAGTCTTGTTGGCCATAATTCAAGGTTTTATACTGTACATTTCTTTCCAACCAGCATTTTTTAGATACCCCCTTTGAACCACACTGCTAGGTGCTAAGTTAAATCAAGTTGAGTTTGTATAGGAGAGCAAAGTCTTAGAAGACAGATACGTAAACAGAAGAACTGCTACAACAGAAGGTGATAACTAGTCCTGGGTTATGAATATAGATACATATCCACTATGCATTTATCATAATGTAAAAAATAGCCATGCTGTGTTTAGAAAATCCATTTCTCAGGCATTAAGTTAAAATTGTGATTTGATTAAAAGCTGTAAAAATTCGTGGAAGCGAAGGCATGCTTTTCACCTGTGTCCTAAATCACAAAAATCTAGTGTAGGCAGAAGGATGTCCTTTTCTTTTTTTTTTTTTTAGGATGTCCTTTTCTTAACCCAAATATGGAGATAACCATTGGCCTGAACAAACGCTGTGTGTGTCCCTGAGACGACTTTCCCAGAAACTGGCCAGGCAGGCCATCTCCTTCCTGGAGCAGATCAACCCGTCAAGTCAGAAGGAGTAAACTTGTTTTGATTTCTAAATTAGACACATGAATGGTAGAAACTGGCAGCTCATCACCAGAAAAGGGAAACTTTATTATCCTTGCTGATGAAACCACCTATGTTCTCCAGGGATGAGAACTGACCAGTCACTCATTTTAACTGGTCGATATCCTGTTAGAGTAGGTGGTGTGAGCCCATTTTATAGATGGAGAACTGAAAACTGAGAGGTTAAGTGGATCAAGGAATGATGAAGTAGCAGAGCCAGGATGCAAACCTAGGCCTATCCTGCTCCAAAGCCCACGCAGCTTTTCACTGCAACATACCACCTCTCAGGAGAATTACTGTCCCCAAAGAACCTTGGAGCAAAAACAGTTACTAGGTCCATCGTTGGTGATTTCCAGCTGATAGCAGATTGTTAAACTTTTTTTTTTTTTTTTAAATCCGTGATCTGATTTAGAAGACAAAATTTAAGGGGCGCCTGGGTGGCTCAGTCAGTTAAGCGTCCGACTCTTGATTTCGGCTCAAGTCATGGTCTCAGGGTCCGGAGATCTAGCCCCGAGTTGGGCCCTGCATTGATTCTCTCTTTCCCTCTCCCTGCCCCCCCCCCCCCCGGCTTCCCCTTCCCCCCCACCCCACTTGTTTGTAGGCATGCACTCTCTCTCAAAAAAAAAGATTTTTTTTTCATTTAAAGAGAAAGGAAGATAGAATTTAAAAGGTAAAACACCACTATCAGTTATAATATTTGTTGTGGAATTTTTGCAGTTCTGGGAGAGTCAGGTTATGGGCATAGCTACAACACAGATACCTTGACTGTTTTATGGCTCATCCTTGTACTGTATGTTCTGTTTCTTACCAGTTTGGAATCCTGATGGAGTCAATGACTTCCTTCTACATTGACATTTGAAGGGTTTTTGTATTTCAGGCTCCTCCTAGAATTGTGGCCCATGAATCATTTCACTGGAAAGAAAATCAATCTATATGTTATTTTTATTTTGTTGCAGTATTTTACAACTCATGGTGGCATTATTTTAGAAAAACAAAAGTTTGGGGAATGATAGACACATAGATGATACATATATGTCAGTGAAATCTTGTTATAATTTCATTTAAACTAAATAAAGTCAACTGACAAATATACTCGGTTCATACTTTGATATTTTTCTAATGTTAAAAGACATTTTTTAATGAAAAATATTAACATAAAATCTATTATTCGTTTTCATTAACATACATTCCAGTAGCTTAACTAATGTAGTTCTTCTGGTTTGGTCTTGTCTTAGATGAGAATACTTGAAAGGGTGTAAACAGATATCCAGGTAGACAGACCTGTTTTTAATAGCGTTGTGTTAAATGTCCTCATTTTGGGAGAGAGAGGTTTAAATATTTGTTTATGGGCATGAGGCCACTTCTTTTCCTCAATACACATACAAATCTTATTGGCAACAATGAAAGAGACAGAAGTATACACATATACCCTTAGTGAGAGAAAGAGATGGATATTCACACACAGGAAGGGATACACCAGAGATGCATGAGTCTTAAAACAGAGCTAAACAAGGGGTGCCTGGGTGGCTCAGTCGTTAAGTGTCTGCCTTCAGCTCGGGTCATGATCCCAGGGTCCTGGGATCAAGCCCTGCATTGGGCTCCCTGCGCAGTGGGAAGCCTGCTTCTCCCTCTCCCACTCCCCCTGCTTGTGTTCGCTCTCTCACTGTCTCTCTCACTCTGTCAAATAAATAAATAAAATCTTAAAAAAAAAAAAAAACAGAGCTAAACAAAACAAAAATCTGATATCCATCATGGTGTCCCAGAAAGTGGATTAGACTGGATCTTCAAAAGATCCCTAAGTGTTAGGCTTCGTTTTACTATTTAACTGTAATCTTCAGGAATTCACTGAACAATCCTGGCCTCAGTTTTCATCTGTAAAATGAAGAGTGCTGAATTAGATTATTTCTGAGGTCCCTTCCAGATTTGTGGATCACGTTTTAGCTGAGGTTTTTCTACCACGCAACTCCTAAAGCTGGTAAAATGAGAAGATCAGATGAGAATAGTAGTTACGAGGTAGTAGGAGCTGTTAAGGAAGCTGCTGGAATCAAATTACTTAGGTTCCTGGGACGCCTGGGTGGCTCAGTCGGTTAAGTGGCTGCCTTCGGCACAGGTCGTGATCCCAGGGTCCTGGGATGGAGCCCCACGTCAGGCTCCCAGCTCAGCGGGGAGCCTGCTTCTCCCTCTGCCTGCCGCTCGCCCTGCTTGTGCTCTCTTTCTCTGACAAATAAATAAATAAAATCTTTTTTAAAAATTACATAGGTTCAAATCCCACTTCTGCTGCATACTGGATTGGAGACTTTGAGCAAGTTATTTAGCCTCTGTGCCTCACTTTTTCAGTCTGTAAGATGGGGATGTGATGGTGGTTATAACATCTGTCATCTAAGGTTGTTCTGGGGGTTGAATGAATTCATGGCAAGTACTTGGAACACTGCCTGGAACACATTAATGTTTATCTTTTTTGTTTTGTTTTGTTTTTATTTAGCTCAGTAAATGTTTATCTTTTTTGTTATTACTATTCCTGCTTGAATTCTTCTTGGAAAACTCTGCTATAAAACTCTGAGGTGGTGGTGATTAACATTGATAGGCTCAATTATATTGTTACTCATTTCTGTACTACGCATAAATCCAGAAAATCTGGCATCCTAGAATCTGCTGTGAAAAGAGTATGTTTGAATAGAGTACTGAAAGTATTTTTAATGTCAACCTTAATTAGCTTCATTACAGAACTGGTTTCTTGAGGCCTACTTCAAAGTCTATATTGACTATTGGATATACAAGCATCTCGATCCCTTAGCACTGTTGCAATTTCTTTCTAAGTGCATTATTTGTATTACATTTCAGGATCCTGAAATTTATAATCTCCGAAACTGTTTTGAAACCATTCTGTTTTATATAATACTGTATTGTGTGGCTCGAAAAAACAAACTGATAGCAATAAGACAAAGCAAGGCATTCTGAGAAATGTTACAGCACTCTCCTGGTAAGGGGAAGGCTTAGATCTAGTTGCTCTAAGAGACTTTAAAGTAATAAATGGTTAACATGTTGTATTAGTTTGCTAGGGCTGCCATAACAAGGTACCATAGACCAGGTGACTTAAACAACAGAAATTTATTTTCTCGCAATCCTGGAGGCTAGAAATTGGAAATCAGCGTGTCAGCAGGATTGGTTCTTCTGAGGCCTCTCTCTTTGGCTGTAGTGACCATCTTTCCCCTATGTCTTCACACAGTCCTTCCCTGTCACATGTTTGTGTCCAAGTTTCCCCCTCTTACAAGGATACCAGCCATATTAGATTAGCCCCCCCCCCCCCGCAATAACTGCATTTTAACTTAATTCCCTTTTTAAAGACCGTGTTTCCAAATGTATTGCATTCTGAGGTGCTGGGGATCAAGACTTCAATATATGAATGGGGGCAGGCACCCAATTTAGCCCAAACACTTTTTTTTTTCCTGAGAGAGAGAAAGAGAGAGCAGGGGGTGGGGGCAGAGGGAGAGGGAGAATCTTAAGCAGGCTCTACACTCAGTGTGGAGCCCAATGCTGGGCTCAGTTGCACGACCCTGAGATCATGACCTGCTCCGAAATCAAGAGTCAGAGCTTAACTGAGCCACCCAGGCGTGCCCTAGCCCAAGGATCCAAATAGTCCAGTAATATCTTTTATCTTCAACTGAAAGATTGATTTGACATTTGTAGTAAAGCTTATATTGCTTAGTATTGTAGAATTCAGTAAAATATTTGTTTTTATATCTTGGTTTTAGAACCTTTGGAAATAATAATAGCAAAAACAACTCTCTTTAGTAAATGTACAAAAGATGGCTTTCTTGGTCAGAAAATTATTTTCTGATAGTATTTTGACATGTTTTTCTTCCCTAGCCTAATTCTAAAATGCCAAAAGTGGAATGAGAAGTACAATTTGGAATGTTGTCATTCTCTTACCCCTAAATGCATAAATAACCCTTCTGAAAAACTAGAAGTGCCAGAGGGTGGGGAAACTTAAATCTTTTTGAGATAGTCAAGGTATGTCAACGCCTTCCACCCCCAGATAGTAGGTTGCTTTGGATACATTTTTAAAAATAGCAGTGCATTTTTGTCCGTATTTAGATTTAGTATTTATAAATGTGACATGTTTATTTTTTAAGTTTCATATATTCTGGGTTTTTAAGGAAGTACATTATCTGGTAGAAAGCTGTCAAAAACACCCATTTTGTATGTCAGTGTTGACTCTGAATTTTAAGAATTAATTGGCCTCCTATATGTTGGCTTAGCTGATACATATGTGAAAATCCTTACATAATTGGAGCAAATTTGCTTTCTATCTTATTGCTAATACTAAAACTTACTAAATGGCCTGAATCCCAGTCAATTGCAGCCCAAGTATAAGTTTTTTAAATTTGATGTCTCAGTATATATTAAAGAAGTGATTTTTATGCAGTTTGCAAGCGTGATTTTCTGGGCAAAACAACTGATTTGTTTTTTATACTAGCCAAGTTGACTTAAAAAAAAAAAAAACAGATCTTGTAGATTTTTTAAAGTGTTTCTCTGTCCAAATTATCTAAGACTCATCCAAAAATGTGCTTTCCCTCTTTCATGCCCCATACTATCCACCATTTAGAAATCAAGCCTAGAGTTCCACATAAAGACATACACACACCAGATACTAGATAGACAAACATCGTACTTGTACTCCACCCTGCCCTGCCCTCCTGTTTACATAGCTATAGAAACTGTTTGGGGTGTTTCTTTTTCTGCCAACCAGTCTCTCTGTGGTAAAAAAGGCAACAACGCCCCCTATCCTGTAGAATTAATTCAGAGTTCCAGAGCAAAAGCTGGGACTTCCTCAAGAACAAAAAGGAACAGCCAGAACCAGAACGAATGGAGCTTGGGTATTATCCAGAGAAGGGAAAAGGTCAGAATAAAATGAACAGAACCCAAACCACAGCAACATACCTCCATGGCAAAATCAGCACTGCCATTTAGGAGGCTCAGGGAGGAGTGAGGGTGCCCTTCTTGATAGCCACAGCGCTTGTGACTGTTGGCACCTAAAAGTTTGTATAGGAGACTCACACACTCCTGACTGTTGGCCCCAACTTGATGGAAAGTAGCATGTGAATAGACCAAATGGCGCGCTGGGCAAACTGATGTTTAAAATCATTTATTGCTAACCTAAAAATAAGTTTCTTACATATCCCATAAATAGGCTTATTTTTTCCAGGGTTTTAAAATATGTATAATTTATCTCTTTTCTTATATATATTTATTTTTTAATTGAGAAAACTATAAAGCTTAATATAGCTACAGTTAGCTATACCACAGTGTATGATAATGTATCCAGACAACTTGTCTACGAGTGGTTTTTATTTCAAATTTATAGACTGTGGCATGCCTTGAACAGACATATCTGCCTCTAAAAACTCTAAGGAAAGTTGCGTCTTGGAGACATTCAAATGGAAGGAATGAGCTGAGCATCTGGTTGAAATGATCTTGTCTTTCAGAGTTACTTAATGGATGATGACAGTGACAAGTAACAGCTCATTTAGAAAGCAAATAGAGAATGAGTCTGTAGACTACGATACGGCATGCCAAAAATCTGGCAGTCATATTTCTGACAATTAATATGGAATTAGCAACAGCCTTTTTCCGAGTATCTTGGGCCACATCATTTAGATATTAGGCAAAAATGGGAGTCAAGTTTAAGAGTTGTTGCCTTAAAGTACAAGACAAAAGTTATGTTTCCTCACATAAAATTTAAAGCCTATCATCTTTTTAAAAGTTTGCTGGGTCTTGGGGGCTCCTGGGTGGCTCAGTCGTTAAGCGTCTGCCTTCGGCCCAGGTCGTGATCCCAGGGTTCTGGGATCGAGCCCCACATCAGGCTCCCTGCTCAGCGGGAGGCCTGCTTCTCCCTCTCCCACTCCCCCTGCTTGTGTTCCCTCTCTCGCTGTCTCTCTCTGTCAAATAAATAAAATCTTAGGGGTGCCTGGGTGGCTCAGTTGGTTAAGCAACTGCCTTCGGCTCAGGTCATGATCCTGGAGTCCCAGGATCGAGTCCTGCATCGGGCTCCCTGCTCGGCAAGGAGTCTCCTTCTCCCTCTGACCCTCCCCCACCTCATGCTCGCTCTCTCTATCTCATTCTCTCTCTCAAATAAATAAATAAAATCTTTAAAAAAATAAATAAATAATAAATAAATAAATAAATAAATAAATAAATAAAATCTTAAAAAAAAAGTTTACTGGGTCTGATACACTATTAGGAAAACATAAACACAGATTTTGCATATAATTCAACACTTAATATTTGGGAAAAGGTAGGAGCTGGGATGAGTAATTAGCCTTACAGACAAAGTCCAGATGGTTGATTTGTTTGTTCATTAACTGGCAGGAGGTGAGGGGGTAAGCGCGTACCTTACAAAATTGAGCAGTTTGAAAAGTTCGTTTGTAATTATGTTATTTTCCCATCTGAGTGTATTGTGCATCAGTCATGGTGATCTAAGCAAATAGGCTTTTGTCAATTCAGGGAGACAGTCATTTCTCTTCCAGGACTCTCATAAGTTAGTCCTTGAAATGGCAGTGGACATCTTAAAGTAAAAATGATTTTGAAAGCCCTCACCTTCCCTAACTGTAATTGCAAAAGGGAAGTCATATGCACGGTAGTTTTGCTATATTACTCAGCTTCGACTTGAAGAAGTAGCTGTTTTCTTTCTTGTCTGTGTCAACCCACACCTGTCAGGCCTTATCAGCTGTAATGACAGTTGACATTCATGGGATTTATCAAATTGTTTATAGTATAGTCACATAGACAATAAATTTCTTATTATTTTGCAGCATCGGACACTTTTCCACCATGCTGATGGCATTTTAAATATATTTGTCAATTTTCCCAAATTTTAACTGAAGAAGACCTTAAGAATTTATACTTGAGGACGAAAGTGTGACTGCCAGTTATCAGGTCAGTATCACCCCCACCCCCACCGCTACCCCCACTCCCAGGAATATTGCTATCACCTAAAACATAATGCGGTTTTACAGCCTTTCATTTATATTAAATTTATTGCAATGTCTTGTGTATTGAGATTGGATTCAAATATAAAGAACTGCTGAATTTTAGTATTTCTAAAGAAAGGTTATGGGAATATGTGAAAACAGACATATTGGTTTTTCAGTTACACAGCTGTGACCCTTTTTTTCCTCCTGTGTCATATTTGTATTGTATTCACTTCATGTAGACACTCAGCTGGACAAGTGGGTACATATTAGCAGAGTGTTCCAGATACTAAAATTTGTGTGCAGAAGCAATCTACAAATGTAGATTACAAGACTATAGTGCTTTATGCCATTGACATAGAATGGAATTTTTTCTTGCCTAGGCTGGACTCCTTTATAATTAAAGTGACTCTGAAGATTGTTTCAATTTTTCTCTTTTATGAGGATGTGTATTTATCACAACAGATCCAAGACTTTGATTTAGGTACAGTCTGTTTTTAGTTTGTTGTATATTCACTTTATTCTTATTTCATTGGATTCTCTAACAATTAATTCTTGATTTTTACCCATGAAAGCTTAGAATGGAAAAAAGAAAGACTTTGGAGATTATCTAGTCTATCTGATTTTACCTGTGAGGAAACTCAGTGCCGGAGCAACTGGGTAACTTTTTTCCCCAAGGCCATAGAGCTGCTTAGTGGCGGACCTCAGATTTAAATTCTGCACTCCTCACTCCCAGTCTGTTATGCTTTCCTCACATGCCACTGCTTCCTTCAGCCCCAGTTTTAGATCTCTAAATAAGAGTATTGAAAGACTACAAAGATACTGAAAGAAAAAAAGAAGAATACGTGTGAACACTGCCATTATTACTTTGGTGCTTCTGCATCCAGTTCATTTACTCAGTGTAGTTGGTATTTGCAGAGTACCTTTACAACTGCCCATTATTCTGCTTAACATCATGGGAGGGAAGGGGATGGGCATAAAATGATAGGATTTTTCCACTGCTTTTTAATTTCTGCGAGATTAAACCATGAAACCATCAGGAAGAAGGGGAAGGGTTTCATCTGAGAAACCAGTGTGACTCAACTGGTGGCTTAAATTCCTCACCGTTCTTCACTCCAGGATGCTATCACCCCTCTTCATTTATGTTTCCCAACCACAAAAGGGCAGCTTGAAGGTATTTCTGAGGTCAGATCTTGGCTGCCCCCAATTCTGATAATGCCTTTCTTAGAATTCTTGTGGAAAGTGAGAGAGGATAGTAGTTATTAATAGTTAAACCATTGTTTAGCTTGTATCAGGAGTTTGGCAAGATGTTTTACATTTATTAATCCAATCTTCACAGCAACCCTATGAGTTAGATATCATCATCCCCCTTTCACAGATAAGAAAACAGAGAATCAGAAAACTTGCCCCGAATCATGCAACTAAGATGATGCAGACCTGGCATCTATCTGACTGCAAAGCCACACGCTCTTTCCAACATACCATCTTAAATTAAGTGTGTGGCTTTCTTAGGTTTGTGGGCTTTTGTTTTTGTTTTTTTTTTTTTTTAGTTATTTTTAAAATACCTGTTGTGAGAGGTCTTCTGTAATCCAGAAGTGAGGATCACTTACCAGCTGCTGAAACTCGGTAGTTAGAAAGTTAGCAGTTAGAGCTGAAGTTAGATGGAACATATTTTGCCATATGGCAAAAGATTCTTACAGCATGTCTTGGAACACAATCTAACAACAGTGAAGTACGCCTTTTCTACATGCTCTCCCTCACTGAGAGGCAGTAGCTCTGGAAGGAATCAATGACTCTTTTGTGTGCCTCCTAAAATTTAATGTGCTCATAAGAGTTGGGAATTACTGGAGGGTGTGTGAACTCGTCATGTTGTAATTCACTTTAAAGGAAACTGTATGAGAGTGACAATTTGGAAGTTAAAAGGGGGAGAAGGAAAGTAGTATTTGCTCAGTCTCGGAAGTTATAAAATGTATCTTACTATACCCCTGGTCAGAGGACCCTTGGAAAATTGTGTAGCAGTCTAACTTCTGTCTCTGTGTGGATTTTGAGAAATTAATCTTGTGGAAAGGACTGAGTTTGTGCTATGCAGTTTGCCATTTAACATATTTCAAAAGATGTACGACTTCTCAGAAACGTGAACTTGCTGAGTCAGATAAATTCAGTGTGTAGTAATCTGTCCAATTAAGATTTTTACTAAGGACAGTATATTTTAAGAAATTATTTAAAAGTATATTTGTATGATGGTTGCATTGAAGTCTTATTTTACTATATGACATATAAATACTGTGATAGGTGTTTTTCCTTTTTAACTGTTTCACAGAGAACACCTATCACATGAAAGTAGATAGTTTAAAAGAAAAATGTCTCCCATACTGCCACCGGACATTGTCTTTGCCCAAATTTCGTTTCAGCCAACTTTGGAGGGATGCCAGAATGTTTTATATACACTTTAGGAATTTGGTTCTCTAAAACTGGGAAATCTTTTCATGATCTCACGATTTTCTGGTGAAATAGTATTCATGGTAACACAATTTTACCTGCGCTTCTAGTGAACTAAACTCATGACTAATTCTTTCTGAGACCTCCCAGGATGTTCGTAAATATGCCTGAAGGAAAAAAATGATGGAAAATTGATCTTTGTGAGTAGTGATGAAATCCATAATTAAGGTGAATTTTATTTTCTCTTACTGCTCAGTTTATGATTAACACCAGAAAGCTCTTATTTTTTCTACTTAATTGTACAGTTTGCCATCTTAAAGCATTTTTTTACTGTAATCGTTGCTCTTTTCTTGTCTGACTCAATTTATTTTTTTCTTTAGTAATATCAGACTCACTCTGTCTTCTGGAGATTGTCTGATCGTTGTCTTTGTTTTAGGCTTTCAGGATGAATCTGGAAAAACTCAGCAAGCCTGAACTCCTAACACTATTCAGTATTCTTGAAGGAGAGCTTGAAGCAAGGGACCTCGTGATAGAGGCTTTAAAGGTGTGTTAAAGAAAAAAAGAGGTCATCGTATGTTTTGAAAGTCATTTCATTGGTTGTAATTTCTTTAACCTGGATGTTTCTGTAGCTCCTGTTGAAGTTCAAGGCCTGGGTATACATATTGATACTTGCTCTGGCAGCTACCTGTGTGGTATGAGTTTAGGGATGTTGGTAAAGCCTTTCTGACCCCAAAATAGTTCCTTAAGTCTCTCTACCTCATGTCTGGATCTTGAACTTCGTTCGTTTTTTTTTTTTTTTTTTTTTAAGATTTTATTTATTTATTTGATAGAGAGAATGAGAGAGCGAGGAAGTATGAGAGGGGGAAGGGTCAGAGGGAGAAGCAGACTCCCTGCCGAGCAGGGAGCCCGATGTGGGACTCGATCCCAGGACTCCAGGATCATGACCTGAGCTGAAAGCAGTCGCTTAACCGATTGAGCCACCCAGGCGCCCATTGAACTTCTTTCTTTAGCTTAGAGGCCTTAACCATTTTTGAATGCCAACTGCTTCAGAACCTAATGAGACTTGCTTCCTAAAAAATGTATATACATCCGTATGCCAAAATTCAGGATATAATATCTGGGAGATCAAGGACTCCATGAAGACCATCTCTGGATTCCCTAGACCCCAGATAAAAAATTCTTACTTTTTTTTTTTTTTTTAAGATTTATTTATTTGACAGAGAGAGACACAGCGCGAGAAGGAACACAAGCAGGGGGAGTGGGAGAGGGAGAAGCAGGCTTCCCGCCAAGCAGGGAGCCCAATGCGGGACTCGATCCCAGGACCCCGGGATCATGACCTGAGCCGAAGGCAGATGCTTAACGACTGAGCCACCCAGGCACCCCAAGAATTCTTGATTTAGTATTTGGTATCTGTTAGTGACACAAGGGGTGGGGGAGGCGGGTCTGTGATATGCTTTCCACTCAGTTTTTCCATGAGCCTAAAACTGCTCTAAAAAGGGTGCCTGGGTGGCTCAGTCAGTCAGGCATCCAGCTCTGGATCTCAGGGTCGTGAGTTCAAGCCCCACATTGGGCTTCACACTGGGCGTGGAACCTACTTAAAAATAATAAGTAAAAATAAAACAAAAAATATAACTGCTCTAATAAAATAAAGTCTAATTTAAAAAATACAAGGGGGTATACCTCCTTTCAAGTTTCATGAATCCTGTACACCGTTGTAAGGATGTTTCCCAATTTGTCTTGAGATCAGATTTGGAGAGGCAAAGAAAAGACAATAAGGGTATCTGTGAGCAGCAGGAGGATGAGAAGGAGGAGAAATGGTCAAAGAAAAGAGACTTGAGCATGCTGGAGAGAGCATAGTCCCTGCAAAGCTCACCAAGTCTAAGGATCTAAGCAGATGTTTATAGTTTCAAATTTTAGTTAGAGATTATATCAGTGTACATCTTAAAGCTCATTGGTAAAAGGTTTATGAAGTACTGTGGGTGTTTTTTATTTTCAAAATCATCCTCTTTATTAAATATTGCATTAATATTTATTTCATGTGTGTTCATATGAAGCTCCATTGTTGAAGATTTTTTTTAGAGCAACAAAGATAATTTTCTAGATAATTTTCAAGGAGGCTTAGAGAATCGGTGATTTCCTAAGTAGCCAACAACAACCACTCAATAGAGTTCATACAAAAAGCCTTTTTCCCTTCCTGCACTGATATAGAGTAAATGTGTTGTTCATTTAGTCATATCTGGGTAGTCTTTTCTTGGGTTACTCCAAAATTATATTTGTGATAAAAATAAAATCTAAACCTATTATTTCTATATGCTCTTACACTTAATTTGTTTTTCAAGAATGACTGAAAAAGACTGACATTTCTGTCTAATAAATATGCCTCAGGGTAGTTTATCACTGAAAACTTTTGGGTTTTTTTGTTTTGTTTTGTTTCCCCGGTAGCTTTGTCATATGTGATAAGTAATTTCCAGTGGTTTCATTCTCCAGAGTGCATGAGGCAATTCCCTTCTGATATGTGGGGGTGGGGGCGGGGATGGAGTCTGTCTTCTTTTCTTCCTTTCCCTGCTTGCTTCAGTCTTGGCTTTGCATGGCTCCCTGCGGATCACATGTTTATGGCTTTGACACATGCCTAGTCACATACGTTAAAGTTTATTGCCTGAGTCTTTGCCTCCCATACCACTAATTAGAACTGTATGACTTTGGTCACGTCATTCAATCTGTCTGGAGCACAGCTTCCTTCTCTGTAATAAGAATAAATGATTAATAACTAGCATTTGTATGTAACACTACAATTTGCCAGGCATTGCAGATACTGCAACAGTGTAGGAGTCATTTTTTCCCCTTTATGTAGATTCTTTCAGTGCATACCATGTTCCCCATATCCAAGGAACAGTCAGTGGTTGCTACTGTTATGAATGGATGACTCTAGTGTGCCCTCAGAGGTGCCCAGTTTTTTAATGACTCTCCTGCCAACATACATTGCATATAAATGTTCACTCTGGCTGGTGACTCATTTCTGCCACTTCCACAGGCCTTCCTTCCCCTTTTGTCACTACTGGTGAATTTTCTTCCTTTCCCTGTACATCCTTGGAAACTATTCTATTTCTTATAACCCCCTCCATTGTTACCAGTAGTCCTAACCTGATTAAACCCAGGGCACCCTCCCATTTCTTATCCCATATTTTTCTGCTCAATGAAGAGAAGAGAAAAAAGGATTGGGGGAAGTTTGAGCTCGTTAGTAATCCTCACTTGTATTGCCTGGTGTTTTCTCACTTCTTTGTCTTGGTTCTCATCTGAGATCCTGGCTCTCCGGTCCGTAGGCATTATCAACTTAGAACCCAAAGAGTTCACCACTTAGGCTGCACTGGGAAGTACTTGGCTCATGGCAGTGACTCCTTGTAAAACCCAGAAAGCATTTTCCAGGAGCAATATTATTACAAATAGCCATCAGATTTTAGGAAACTACAGTAATTTGGCAACATTTCTTAGAGACTCAGCTGAGGATCTACCCCTACTGGCGCTGGGACTCCGGGAGCCGGTTCCCCATAAGTATTACAGTTGACTTTTACAAAAACTTGTGTACCTCAGCCCCTTCACAGTTGAGGTAGGGTGGTGGGGGGATGGCTGTCTCTAATGAAAAAACCAGGCTGACCTTATTTCCTCTTTGCTTTTCAGCCTTAGAAATCAAACAAACCTGTAGAGCTTTATGTGTCTATTTTGCTAATCATTATATGCTCAGCACCAAGCATAGGGCCTAGCATATAGACACACAATAAAGGTTTGTCAAACAGATGAAATGATTGTACCATTGTGATGCATTGCTTTAAAAGACTGCCACAAGATTTCAAAGTGAACGTTGTGAATTATTAAATTTTACAGCTTGTTCTTATGTGGCTGCAACATACTGCCTTCTGGTTTTAATGTGAACGGATGCGTAGGTGCTTGTTGCACATGTTTTCCTAAAATACATTTTTTCTGTGCGAATCCAATTTTAGTTACTTCAGGCAGCTTCTGACAAGTTGAAAGAGCAGCTTGAGAAGCAGGAGCTATAATTAAGGGAGCATTTGGATATAAGATACCATTCAGAATCGGGCACAAGTGTTGTGTTTAGTCTGCATAGGGCTTGGAGGTGATAAAGTTATCTTCTGAGGCTTAAGCTAGATGCAGTTTAGATTGAAATGAATAGCTTAGCCAGAAGTGGGACGTCTTTAAACGGTCTATTGTTAGATAAAATAAGTAGCAGCTGGGGTCAAAACTGTTTCAGTCCCTTTGAGAAAAGCAACTGCCATACCAGATTCCTAAAGTTAAAATGAAATCTCTCTTTATTTGTAGTTTTTTGTTTTTTATTTTAGTTTATTTGTTTGGGCTTCTGTAATATATAAAGATTTTACTATTATTATTTCTGTAATTCTTGCTTAATAATAAACACCTGTTGGACTTCTCGGACTAATATGGCAGCTTACTAATTTTCTTCCATTTAGTATTCTTTCTTAATTCATGTTTAGTGGGTTGAAAAGGTTTTGAAATAGTTATGATTGGTTTTTTCCTTCTGTTTAAGTAAAAAAGCTTATCTTTTTTTTCCCTCCTTACCTTCAAAATAGATTTTTTTTTTCCTGGGCATAAAATCTGTTCTTCAAACTTACAGCTTTGAACAAAACCACATCGTTCACTGTTGCTGCTAAATAAATAGTAGGTCACATTGGCAGGGTTGGGTTTATATAGGGATATATTTATTTTAAAGGTCCCAGATCCTACATATAGAGCTATAATTATAAAAGAACTTCATTCCACTGCATCAAAAACTAATGATGTAATGTATGGTGATTAACATAACATAATAAAAAAATTTTTTTTAATTAAAAAAAAGAACTTCATTCATTTTCCAGAATTTCTGCAAAGTACCAGATTGCAACTACATCCTTCTAGAAAAACCCCCACCATAGTTACTTTTCTCCCCCAGAATATGAAAGCCGCCTCATTCTTCTATTGCAGCCAAGACATGTTTGGCATAGAACCAGGAAAGTCAGTAGAAAATAGTGTAATATTCAACTTTTCTGTATTTAAATTCTAATTGTTACAGAGGCCATTTATACTTTATTTGGTCCTAATTGAACTTTTATATAAAGTGATTTTCTGTTTTACAAGAGATTATGTCAGAACAAAACATTCTTTGTGAAAGTCTTTCTCTTTGACCAGTTTATTTTCATGAATGAGAACACTATAGGAATCCCTTCCACAGTGAAAGCAAATTACATTGCTCATGAACTAACTATCCCGGGGAGGCTGGGGTGGAATCACACAGTTCAACAAGAGAGCCTCAGCTCATTAATTCTAAGCAGCTCTAGGAGATGGCTTCCCGGCGAGGTTTGACTACTCCAGAGGAAGATGGAGGACCCTTAATGGCCATTTAAAAACTTTGGAAAAGAGACTCATTTACTCTTAGTTATGATTATTAGAACAAAAGTTTTACAGTCCATCCATTTCGAACAAAAGTATATTCCATAAAGCAAGAAATACTGAAAATATGCTGTTCTTCATACAAAA